TAACCTCCTTCGTAGTACTGTCACCATCATCGCACAACTTTTGCGGAAAAATTTAGGAAAAACAAACTCCAGTCTTTTAAACACCATTAGATTTAACCTTACATGAAAAAAAAATGAAAAAAAAAAAAAGATCCGATGCAATGGATATACTCATCTCTGTAATCCATAACATTAGTTTTTTTCCTTAATTTTTTTTGTTTTTAACAATGTCTCGAGCCATGACATATCTTCTCTGTATCTGTTGGAGTGCAAAGAAGAAAGAGCAATAATACAGATTCACCAACCCAAATAAACTTCATAACGAAGACATAATGAAACTAGTACGAAAAAGCAGATCTGAGTCTCATCAACTATGAAAACTCCAACAAGAAAGATAGAGGGCTTTGGACCCAACACACACATCTTCGTCGTTTCTAAATCCACAATATATGTGCTTCAACTTTGGGACCATTGTTGTCCTTTTGGCAGTCACCCAACCCACCGCTAGTACCAAGCGCGCTTGGTACTGGCGGTGGGTTGGGTGACTGCAAAAAGGACAACAATGGTCCCAAAGTTGAAGCATTTATTTTTTTAAAGTTAAGAACTTAACCCTTAGGTAATCAAATAGATGATGTGGTAAATGACATGGATTGCCATGTCATATGCTACATCAGTTGGTATAAAAGTAAAAAGTTGGTGCCTCTAGCATTACCGCAAAAAGTTTATATGCAGTGCAGCATTTTGAAACCTGATTATCTAATAATTATTTAAACGTATTAGTGACCATATATATATATTATCATCACTGATCTGTAAACTATTGGTGACAGACTTTTGATCATTTAATAAAAAGTTCTTCAAGTTGAAAGTCTTCTGCTCCAGCATATTTTCTCGCTCTCTCATCAAAGGGAAAAAATTGAAACAGCCATAAAAATTCAAAGCCATCTTTTACTGATTAGGGTAAGAAAATCTCACATCGAAAATCCACACTCCTATAAAGGTATAAACAAAGCATTATGATGGTTTTGTAAGTGTGGTTAACAATGGAGAGTTTGGCTAATGGGCTTGGCTATAGGCACGGCTTTGGATTCGGCTTTCATGGATAATAATTATATTAATCAAAGACTTGGGCCTTGGGCCATCGGGCTCTTGGACTTTGGAGAAATTTGATTAAGACAACCAAAAAAAAGAGTAAAGCAACTAATTTTATATTTTTAAAATTAAAACAAAACAAAAAAACCTCTCCAAACAAAGTTTGTCGGCACAGGTTTATGTGGGCAAAATTTGTAGGATTAGCATAGTATAGCCGGGCGGCTATACTATTTAAAAAAAAAGGCAAAATGGGTATCGCCGGGCAGCTATACTTTTTATTTTAAAAAAAAAAAGAACCCGCTAGCGAATAGGCGCCGCGTGTCAAAAACTTACAGCCAGTCGGCTATACTGTCTTTTTTTTAAAATGAGGAAAAAACCGAGTATAGCCAATCGGCTATACCTTTTTTTTAAACTTTAACATTCCGAGTATAGCCGCACGGCTGTACTACATTATATTTCAATGTAAATAATTTACATTGTTTTAATATGTGAATTTTGTGTCTTATTGAAATTTTTGTAAAAGATACGTGTATTAAACGTGAAAAATATGGACGTGCCTGTATAAGACGAGTATTGTACATTTAATTTTTCAATAAACGTGAACTCGAGTCTTTAAGACGTTTGCAAAACACGGATGTATTATTGAAAAATACGTACGTACGTGTATAATACATTATTAAACGCAATAGTGCCAAAATATTTATACGGGTAATAACTCGGAAGAATTTTAATTAAGACAACCAAACGAAAATAAGTAATTTATTTTTTTGACATCCATTGAACTTCAAATACTTACTATTTATTAAGTCTTTTGCCAAATCAGTAACATATTTAAATATTCACTAAAGAAATATTAATTAAAACATAATTACTAATTAAAGTAATTCAAAAAGACTAAGATACTACTTAATTACATATATTAAATTAAACAAGTTGGCAAAAAAAAGAAGTAAAGAAACTAATTTTATATTTTCAAAATTAAAACAATACAAAAAAAACCTCTCCTGACGAAAGTTCGTTGGCACAGGTCTATGCTGGCGAAATTTGAAGGATTAGTAGAGTATAGCCGCCGGCTATACTATTTTTAAAAAACAATTAGGAAAAACAAGTATAGCCGGGCGTCTATACTATTTGAAAAAAAAAAAGGACCCACCTAGCGATTAGGCGCCACGTGTCAAAATAAGTATAGCCGCGCGTGCCTGTATAATACGAGTATTGTATGTTTGCTTTTAAAAAAAAGTGAACTTTACCAAGTCTTTAAGACGTTTGCAGAACACGAATGTATTATTGAAAAATACGTACGTACATATATAATACATTATTAAACATGAAAGTGCTAAAATCTTTATAAAAAAAATTATAAAAAAAAAAACCCTTCTAGTTGTAGTAGTTTATACTTTATAGATATTAATTTGCTAGCTTCGATATATATACTTTATAAATTTTAATTTTTAAATATATATATATATATATATATAATTAACAAAAAGGGATCCGGCTAGCGTTATCGCCCAACTAGCGATTTGGTGCCCACATGTCAAAAACAGTATCGCCGCATGTCTAACTATTTTTTTATAATAAAAAAGCGTAGTATAGCCGCACGGCTATACTATTTATTGAAAAAGTGGACCCTTCTAGTTGGATTAGTTTATACTTTATGAATATTAATTTGCTAGTTTCGATATATATACTTTATAGATTTAAAAGTTTTAATATATATTGTTTTTATTCAATAATATGCAAAAAATTATGTGTATAATACGTGAATTTTGTGTGTATTATTGAAAATTTTGTAAATAACCAAGTGTATTAAACATGAAAAATACATATGTATATGTACAATATGAGTGTTAAACATGAAAATGCTAAATTCTTTATACAGGTAAGAACTTTGGAAAAGCAAAAACTCAAAAGGGTACAATCGAGACTCAGGTAATAACCTAATAGTAATGAATAATGCTCTAAACTATCGATAAACAAAAATCAGGGAAAAATAATTTTTTTTTTTTAAAAATCTCAGTATCTATGTTAAAAAATTTTTAAAAAATGACCCCAGTAAAGCCAACCGGCTATACGCTTTTTTTAATAAAAGAAAATCCCGAGTTTAGCCACGCGGCTATACTATTTATATATACAAAAAGAGGGACCCGCCTAGCGCCCAAATAGCGAATCGGTGGCCACGAGTCAAAAACAGTATAGCCGCTCGGCTATATTAATTTTTTAGAAAAAAAAAAAAAGGTCGCATAGAGGCGCGGCTATACTATTTGAGTATATTATATTTACAAGGGGTATTGCCGAGCGGCTATACTATTTATAGAAACATACTATTTATAGAAACATCTGATCCCTGGATATTATTTGCATATGGATTCCTGCAAAACATCTTGAGATTTCTTCAGACACAATCTGTACATGTCATGCCAATGGTCTTCTCAGTGATTGCCATTGTTTTTCATATTGGCATCACATATGGTTTGGTACATTGGACAGCTCTTGGTTTCTTGGGAGCTCCACTTGCAGCCTCAATTTCTCCATGGTTATCTGTTCTTATGTTGGCCTGCCATGTCAGTTGTACAAATAGTTTTGAGCGTACTTGGGAAGGATTTTCATTCGAATCTTTCGATTATATCCTCACTGGCTTAAAACTGGCCCTCCCTCTGCAACAATGGAATGGTAAGTGGACATCCTTCAAACTTTTATTACTTTGATCCCGAATAATGTTCTCTTGTCATACATACATGAGATGAATAGTCTGACAGCATAGCAGCCAGACTCTGTGACACAAGAACATTTTATCTTTTATAGATCTTTATTGTCAATGTTTAAGTCCAGCAATTTTGGCTTTCTAGTTTGGAGGAATGGGCTTTTGAGATTCTAGTGCTCTTAGGTGGATTGATGCCAAACTCTGCAAAAACAATTTCACTACTTGCAATGTGGTAAGCTGCTTTAATATATTTCTCCTTAGTTTTTCTCGTTACTAAAAACGGCTTTTGCTCAATTATATCTGCGGTGTAAATACACAAGAAATTGGTTACAAAATTACATATGGCCTCATTGCTGCTGCCAGGTTAGTAGACTAAAAGCTCCTAGCTGTTTCTTCGACTCCAAGTTTTCTATTAATTTCATACATTGAAATAAATTATACTTATTGTGGCAGCCCAAGGGTGTCAAATGAATTGGGAGCAGAGCAGGCAATCCGGATAGAGCTAAGAATTCAATGGTTGTGACTCTTAAGCTCTTTGTGTTTCTTTCTTTCACGATTATTCTGGCTCTTGTGTTTGGTCACAATATTTGGGCTGCCTTCTTCATTTTCAGCAATGCAAGTTATGCAGTATTGAGAGAGGATTTTGCTTCAATGACACCATTGCTTGCAATTTCTATAATTGTTGATTCTGTTCAAGGTGTCTTTTCAGGTTGAGATCACTCACATTTCATCAACTTTGTTCTTTTTTTTTTTCTTTCCTTTTTTTCTGTTTTTTCTTGGTGCACAATAATTTGATTATGGGTTTTTTCAGGTTTGGCTAGAGGATGTGGGTGGCAACACTTGGCTGCGTATGTAAATTTGGCTACTTGTTATTTGATTGGTATGACAATTGCTGGTCTTCTTGGATTTAAGTTGAAACTTTAGCCAAGGCAAGTAACTTCATTTGATTTGTTTTGGTCCAGGGCTTGTGGATTGGTATAATCTGTTGTCTCCCCTGTCAAGCAAGCACACTTTTGTTGATTACACTGCTCAAGAAATGGACTCAATCAGATTTATCTAAAAATCCAGAGGAGGAAAACCCAGTTTTGGTCTAGATAAATGTCAAGCAAAAGTAATCCTTTTACTGTACAACATAGACCATCTAAGAAAACTTAGTTTATGCATTTATATCCAGGTAATTTTATAATAAAACATGGATTAGTATTAATCTTCCCAAAGGAAGGAATGCAACGATTGAAATCTGCTAATCAATCAAATTTCACACATCTAAATCTTACATCTAAAACCACCCATATCAGTCAGATATTGTTTCTCTCCAACAACTACCATACATAAATCTGAACAATTCCTAAGTGGCTTCCCACAATAAGTCCTGAAATTTACTGATCATTGCAATTAGGCTCTGATGTCAACTACAGCCATAATATTCGACATTGGAGGCATCCAGTGAAACATTCCTGTTTCCTCTGAAAATATGTATTTTCATTCCATCGCTCTTCGCGTTGAAAAGCTCAAAAACCAGTGTGTCCCCAAGTGAAATGTTGTTTGCATGAAAACATTTTGACAACCCTTTTGTCATGAACAAACGACCACCGCGATGTTCCTTTCCATCGAGCCTTAGTTTAACATCCCATGATATCCCATTTGGATCTTCAACCTTTACACTCTTCTTTCTAATGAGACCTTTAGCTACAGCCAGCGCCTTTGGGATATTCTGCAAATATGAACAAGAAAGAAAATGCTCAGATACTTGAATTGGACATTTTTGAGTCCATGAAAAGGTTTTCTGAATATTTCTTTTACTATTTTTCCAATCAATAACCGAATTGGATTATAAATTTGGGTGAAGAAAGTACTCACTAGGCGATAGTGGTTCTTCGTCATAGCTCCAATGAAGCATGGATGCTTCGATCTGAACACAACATGTGCATTTGATATTTCTTTCCCACCATCAGTTGCAATCCTCTTTCCAGACTTGCCTATACAATTCCAAAGACATGATATAAAAAAGAACCTATATAGGTCATACAAAACTCCCCAAACTTTAAAGAAGTAAAATAGTATACAACTTACACTTCCTTATGTTCGATATACAAGCATCTTCTTCACTCTCTTCGTCGGGTTCTTTAGTTTCAAGCTCAATGATCTCCTTCTCTACTCGAGCTTGATTTCCCCTTCTCTTCTTGGCTGGTTCTAACTCCTTCTCAGTGCCAATTGGATCATACATTGTGACATCAAACTTGGACTTGCCATCATAATCAAAAACCAAAAAATTTGCAATTTCCAAAGAATGGTCCTTCACAAAACCCTGCCAACCGTTATGGAAGACAAATCGATCCCCTCTCAGCTCCAAACCCACTGTCCAACATTCTCCACTAGGACCTCTAAAAGTACATGTTGGAGGCAATCGTCCATTGACATAGTTCATAAATTCGGGTGGTATACTCTACAAAATTCAATAACATAATATTCACAAGACATACACAATTGAGATAGGTAGGAAATTGATGCCTAATTGTATGTAAAATAGAAGCCATAAAATGTGTGAGTTTGACGAGTCTGTAAATTGTGCTACTGGTCATTGAGCCGCAGAGGTAAGGTGAAGCAGCAAATGTTTCTTTGTGTTCTAACTTCCTAATATTTCCTCACCCACACCACAATCAGTTAAACAATCCATGATATTGCAGTCATTTTAAAGCAAAAGGAACAGAGAAAAAATAAACAGGAAATGGAAGAAACAAAGAAACAAAAAAGCCAATCCATGATATTTCAGTCGTTTTAAAAAACCAAAAAGAAGAGAGAAAAAAGAAACAGATATGGAAGAAAGAAAGAAAAAATTAAGTCAAGCCATGATATTGCAGTCTTTCAAAAAGCAAAAAGAACAGAGACAAAAGAAACAGAAATGGAAGAAAGCAAAAAAAGAAAAGAAAAGGCAAGCCATAATGATATAGCAGTCCATTTAAAAACCAAAAAGAAGAGAGAGAGAAAAACAGAAATGAAAGAAAGAAATTTAAAAAAAACACACACAAATCCTGTTATGAACCTAGAAGATGAGTAACTTTCAGTTGAATTAGTCAGTTAGTTTCATTTAACTAGAGGGTTTCATCTCTAAATCCCAAAAAACTCTGTTTTTACATAACAAAACTCTTTTTGGCAAACCAACAAAAACACAGGGAAACGGGACTGATCGATCGATCAACATAATTTTCACAACAATCTACTTGATATATCTCATCATCAGGAACAGAGATGTTACCAAACAGTGAGAGAAGTCGCCAACCAGGGCCTTGAAAAATGATGGTATCTTTGGTGAAGGCTTAGTTGCTTTTCTACCCATCTGGATGATCAGCTGGAATTTTACGAAGATGAAGATGAAGATTAGTTTCAGTTTCCAACCGAGGGAGCTCTCAGGAACCGCTTTTTCTGATTCTTCAAATGTGGTGACGACAGCTCTTTGGTTTGGGAGATTTTAAGGAGAAGAGGATCAAATGTTCTGTATTAGATTTTGCGCACGTAAGCTCTGTTCGGACTTTTTCTTTGTTTATTTCCGGCTGGATTTGGAAAGTACGTTCATTGGGCACGTGCATGGCAGCATGGGAAAGTGAACTTCAGACCCAGAAAAAGAAAAAGAAACAAAAAAGAGCAAATAATTTCCGGTGTTCATGGTTAAAGTAGGATACTGTATACGAATAAAGGTTTTTAATGTATAGTATTTGTATTCACTAACATGTGAAAAATACGTGAATTTTACTTGTATTATTTAACTTTTTGTAAAGAAAACATGAAGAAATAATACATAAGTACATGTATAATAATTATAAAGAACGTGTATTTTACTGTATATTTAAAAAGCATATGCCTAAAAAATATTATTTTTGAAAAATATATAAGTACGCCGCACATACACTACGATACGCGAATCTACTAACTATGCTAGTTGTTTGTTTACCTTTTTTAGTTTCTTATATTTGAATCATAATGAAGTTCATCAACTAGAGAGACCTCTTATTCGATCCAATTTATTGACTTCACCTATGAATTTAGGTGAAGTGAATATATTTGGTACCAACAAATAATTTCAATATCCATTAATAACTTTTCACTTTCTTCCAAATCCAAACATTTGAAATCAAAGATTCAAAATTGAGTTGCATGTGCACTCTTTGAATGAAAAGACATCATATACTCAATATAGGGTTCACATATCCAATGGAGCTTCCCCATACTCTTGCCTTAAATGTATATTTGATGGAAACCAAGTAATTGAGAAGCCCAGTTGCTAGCTGTGTGTTGGTGTCAGGCAAGTTTCATTTTCTCTTTTCGTACATTGCTTGGTAAAAGTGATTTGCTCAAAAATGGAGAAGGAGATTGAGATCAACATCAACCATAATTACCAGCATGGGATTCTTTTACCTTCTCGATCGTCTCCTCAATCAATTGCTCCACTCATCACCTCATGAATGCCTTCATCATGTTAAAATATATCATCTATGGTCTAGCTTTTGTGGCTGTAATTGTGAAGCAATATATATGCACCCATTTGGAAAAAGATAATTTAACATACATAGCTGCATCTGCTTTCACAAAGTATATATGAACTTTGATTATACATGGCTGCCTCTCTCTCTCTCTCTCTCTCTCTCTCTCTCTCTCTCTCTCTCTCTCTCTTACTAAATTCTTATGAGACACTGACTCTTGGGTACTTGTTTGTTTTATATAATTTGGACGTCCTGGCATTGGGCTCTTCTTTTTGGGCATTTTACCTCAGCAAATCTTGTGCACAGATTGCATTAGGCCTCTCTTGCTTTGCTTTAATCTTTTTTTCCTTCTGTTTTATTTTTTTCCTGTGTCAGACCTCTCTTGCTATTCATGAATGAAGCTTTTCAGACCCAAAACAAATGTGAAAACCAGTATGTTTATCTGAGATTATTGTCCATCTTAACCTTTCAATCAATTCTAATGTTGATAGACTTTCTTTTTCATAACCAAACAAAGGTGCATACAACTTTAATCATGGGAGCCAAATACATGCTATCCAACAGAACATTAGACAATGAAGTAAACTGTACTATAGGTTTAATGTTTGACTCTACTGGAGGCATCAAGCACAACAGAACGCATATTTCCTCCTGCTCCAGTTCTGAAAATATGAACCTCCATTTCATTCCTCTTAACAAGCTCGAAAACGATTGTATCCCCGAGTAAAATGTTGTTCGCTTGCCAACATGCTACCAACCCTTGTGTCATGAGCAAACGACCACCATGATGCTCCTTTTCGTCGAGCCTAAGCTTAACGTTCCATGATCTCCCATTTGGATCTTTAAGCATCACCCTCTCCTTTCCAATGAGGCCTTCAGCTACAGCTAGTTCCTTTGGGATGTTCTGCAATATGGAACATCATTAGAGGGAAAGAAAATGCTCATTCGATTGAACCCTTCAAAGATCTCTTTTACTAACTTCCAATCACAAATAGGGATAATGTTGATTAAACATAATTGGCATAGAATGACAAAAGTACTACTCACCATGCGGTATTGATTCTTGCCTAGAATTCCTATGAAGCATGGATGCTCTGATCTGAACACTATGGATCCAGTTGATGTTTCTTCCACAGCAGCAGCAGTTGCGGGTCTCTTTCCAGGCCTAACAGTAACAGAGTTGCCTATACTTCTCCTCTTGTCACAGCCCATTGGATGACAGATTGTAACATCAAACTTTGAGCCACCTTGATGATCAAACACCATAAAGTATCCAACTGTTAAGGAATGATCCGTCACGAAACGCTGCCAACCCTCACAGAAGTAAAACCCATCCTCCCTCTCTTCCAAACCCACTGTCCACCATTTTCCAGTAGGGCCTCTAAGGGCACATTTACAGTGAGATGGTCCATTGTAATGCACCATCAAGGCAGGTGGTAGACACTGCAAAGTTTACAAGCTTCTTTACTGACCATATATTTTCAATACACAGAGTGCAAATTGTATGACATCGAAGTACTAAATACTAATACATGAAAGACCAAAAATAAAAAATAAAGTCAGAGAGGGCTGGCATATATAGGATGTTACCAGCTGTCGAGGGAAGTCATCACTCTGTAAGACCTTGAAAAATGATGGTAGTTTTGGCTTCCTCGCCATTTGACCGGAAAAGGCTTCCTGAGAGAGAGAGAGAGAGAGAGAGAGAGAGAGAGAGAGAGGTGAGAAGAAGCTATTTCCTAGTTTTGGATTGCTTTAGCTTTAGCATATGTACGAGGCCTGCTGCACCCACACGCAATGTCACCCAAAATTTCAGCCTGCTTCCCTGACTTCACCCGTATGTGACCCAAACAAAGGTGTCTTTTAAATAAATTTATTTAAGGTATTCTACAACGAAACGAAAACTAGGGGTGGGCACAGTCCGGTTTGATCCGGTTTCACCCTCAAACCACAGCTGAACCAATTAAACTTTCACGGTCCGGTTTGGTTCGGTTTAAGCTAAAATCAAAATGGAAACCGAACCAAACCAAACCATTCATATCCGGTTCGGTGCGGTTTGGTTCGGCCGGTTTAGGCATAAAAGAAAACATCATTTTCTCCATGTCACCGAACATGTTCATTCTCAAGTTCCCTAATATCAAACACATAAAACATTCACTAATCATACAACCCAAAGAGGTAAAGAAAAAACATACGAAAGAAAAGAAGCTGCAAGCAATAATAATTATTACAGAACATGATTCTCAAATAAATACAATCCTATTGTGCTTAATTATATAGTTATTACAAATCATGATTTAAAAAACAGTGATAATCCTTCCAAACAGCAGCCCCATCAGATTCAACACAACATTCTGCACATCAAAACAGTAAAATAGAACTTTTCCCCCTCTCTGCTGCTGATATTCTCATTCTGCACATAAAAACAACAATAATGGGTTTCATAAGAATATTGTATGACACAAGCTCTGTAATCGCATCCCACACACAGCAAATCCAACATGCTAAATCACCATATTTTTTACCAAAAAGCAACAGAGTGCTAAGTAAACTAATGGATTAAAACATAGAACTTCCATTCTTTTAATAGAAACATAGAACTTCCATTCAACTCTAGGAATGAAAATTGAAGCAAACCAACAACACATTACTAGTCTAGCAACAGAAACACAGAGCAGCTTACTCATTTTATCTCCTTGTGGAAGGTATATAGATGAATCTGAGCCCTACAATAACAAACCAACCCAAACTGAAGGCGAGTTACTGGATGAAGAGGTCCATTCTGATGCATTGAGAGAAATAATAAATGCATCCCTGAGATCTGCACCAAAGCACAAACATTGAACGCAGTTTCAAAATAAATACAGACATATATTTCATAAGTCTATTAAATCACCTTGAATTTCATAAGCTTGAGATCTTTGCTTTGCTTCTTTCCATGATATCACTTCTCCACAGTACTCAATAATAAATTGCTCTGCAAACATTGTACAGAGCAAATTAAAAAACTTACAGGAGATTAAATTCACTCAACATATGAACAAACTATAAATAAATGATCTATAGTTCAATCATAAACTTATAAAGCTTCAATGTTCTCAGTGGAGTCAAACAAAAGTGTTAAAGATAAATAACAGAACAAGATGCACTTGCCTAAAACACAGTAATATATGTATATAATCAAATCCAGTAAATAATAGAATAGCAGAGAATCCAAGTAATGAGATGTCAGTTTATAGTTGTTCCCAATAATGGTAAGCTATTACCAGCAATATTCACATAATCAATCCTTGCAGAACCTGGTGGTCGATGATGGAACTTGGGTTTCGCAGAGATGGATTTCGCTGAGGGCGAATGGGTGGGTTTCGCCGAGTTTGTTGGCTTGAGTTAGCGTCGAGGGAGAGGGAGAGGGAGATGTAGTAGAGAGGCAGACAGAGAGGGAGAGGTAGCAGAGAGAGATGGAGAAATAATGAGAGGGAGTTGCGGCTAGGGTTAAGAGACGAAGGTAAAGTAATATATATGAATATATATAATTAATTAATTAAATTTTAAACGGTTCGGTTCGGATTAACACAGTTTTTCAAATGTTAAAACTGCAGCTGAACCAAACCACTCCGGTTCGGTTCGGATTTTAAAATTGTTGACTTTTTTAAAGTCAAAACCAAACCAAACTGGAAAATACGGATTGATTCGGCCGGTTTGGCCGGATCGGCCGGATTGATGCCCACCCCTAACGAAAACTATATATATAAATTTTGAACTTTTAAATAATGCATGTGACCGGGGCAGTGAAGTGAGAGGTGGGTCAAAAGTGAAAGCAACTTTTTCATTTTGTTATTTTGTTAATTATTCGGCGGGTGGGCAGATAACAGACGGTGGACCCAAACAATACATATCGCTTTAATTTCTCTTTATCTGGAATATTACCACAAAACCTACCACCCTTTTTTTCTCTTTAATTTCTCTAATTTTGATTAACCCCATCTTCTTCCTTCATATATAAATACCCGGCCCTTTCCTCACTCTCAGACTTCATCCCGTGGGGCAGCCAAGAGATATTTCAAGAGAATCGCTTTAGCTTAGCTTGAGAGACTCAGTAAAATGGCAAACTTACAAAGTCATTGAAAAGGGCAGTTTCCTAGTTTTGGATTGCTTTACACAATTGATATTTCCCAAAACGAAGAACAAATTGAGGTAACCTTACCCCCAACAACGTCAATAATGCAAGCACCAGCATAGGATCCTTAGCTTCGAAGAACAACTTTATTTTTATTTTTTTAGGGTTTCAAATTTATCCTATTATTATTTTTCCTTCATATACTCAAACACTTGATTATTTTTGCTTGAAAACTTAGTTTTCTTATAGACATGTTGTATAGGAAAGGAAAACATAATGCATAATGAGTCGCGCCTAGTTTAGGCCCATTTCGTGCTGAGCCCGTATAGTATTAAAATTATGGTCGAACGGCCTAGCTCACGTATTATGTCAGGCTCGACATGACCATGCCATTGCTTGCACATTTTAATCATGCTACCATCTTCGGGCCAACTTCGTTTGTTTTGACACCTCTGGGTGAGCTAGAACAAGAAAGATATGGGCCAGGCCAAAAAAATTACCATGCAATTGGAGAAAAATAAATGAGAGAAGCCCCTGATAGCTTTCGCCCGTTGTACAAATTCAACTAGACAGGAACTTCAGAGAAATCAAATAGTGGCTGAGGAATGAAACGTAACGTATAATACAATGCAAGAAAATACAATGCAAGAAAACCATCGCCTACTCAAAATGCTAGAGTAAATATTGCAGTCAAAGCTTTTTTTTTATTATATAAAAACATTGCAATATGAAACTCGAGAGTCAGCTAGCTTTAATTTTCACCATTGGGGGCATCGAGTACCACAAGACACCTCTTGCCTTTCACTACTCCGAAAATATGAAGTTGAATTGCACTTTGCTTGACAAACTCAAAAACCAGAGTGTCCCCAACTGAAATCTGGTTCGCTTGACAGCATTCTCCCCAACCTGTGGTGAATTCCACACGTTTGCAAGATGACTTGGAACGGATTGCAATTTTAACAAGCCAAAATCTCCCATTTGGATCTCGAAGCGTTACATTCCTTGCACTCTTAAAACCTTCAGCTTTGGCTACTTTCTTCGGAATCATCTGCAAGTTGGAACATAATTGATATCTAAGGACAAAAAAAATTCAAGCCTATGAAGATAAATTAGCTGGGAAAACAATCAAGCCTAACAAGTGGTAGAACTTCAAGAAAATTTTATTGAAGATGTTTTTCCATTAACTTCCATACTGCAACTCTTTTACTATGTTTTCTCCAAAAAGATATATCTTTAAATCTAATCCAACCAAATATCAAAAAACACAACGGCTCAAGAATTGGTGACAAAGTACTCACCAAGCAATATCGGTAATGCCTCTTCATAGTTTCCATAAAACATCGATTATCCGATTTGAATGAGATGCATTCACTTGATGTTTCCTCTACATAATCAGTTGTAGGTTTCTTTCCAGACATGGCATTGCCTATTCATCACCAAATTGAAACATAATTAAGAGAAGGGTGAAAAAAAAAAGCCGTTATAAAAAATACACATACAAATCTTCCCTAGATGTAGGGAAGTAAAATAGAGTATCACTTACGATTTATTCTATTAGCAATACTTGTTTTGTTTTCACAGTCTTCGTTGTAGTTTTCAGTTTCAAGGTCTATAATTTCCTCTTTTACTTTAACTCGATTTCCTTTACTTTCGATGGGAACTGAACTGCCAATCCCCCTATCTGCTACCTCTACATCCTTCTCACAGGCACTTCTATCATAGATTGTGACTTTGAACTTTGATTCACCATCATAACGGAAAACCAGGAAATTCCCAACTTCTAAATGATGATCCTTCACAAAACCCTGCCAACCCTTAGAGAAGAACAAGCCATTCTCTCTCTCTTCCAATTCCACAGCCCTCCCTTTCCCACTTGGGCCTCTAAGAGAACATTTGCGAAGTGATCCTCCGTTGAAGTTCTTGATAAACGCAGGTGGTATACGCTGCAAAATTCAATAGCCTTTTGAAAAACCACGGTACATGTGCTTAAAACAAAGCAAGAATAATTTAATAGACATAATCCAAACTTAATAGCATCGCAAAACTAAACTAACACAGGAAAATAATCAAACACTTGGAAATCATTCAAGCAATTCTTTGTTGTAATTTCCCATTTGATCCTCACCCACAATTTGCCAAACAATCCACAGAAAAGCAACTCAGTCATCTCAAGGTCAAAGCTTGAGTCAAATAAGTCAACTTAGTGAGTTGTACGCTAGTATAGTTGCCATAAATTTTCTCTCCGATTTCCCTCACTTTCTCGGCAACCAAACACATGTAATTGTGATTTTATTCAGGATTTACCAATATAATAAAAAGAACTCGACCCAAATATGAATCAAGGTCAAGGTATTAACTATTAACCTTTCACTCAAATTCGCAATTAATCTTGAAGTATGAACCCAAAAACACACAGGAAAAAAACATGCAATCATGCATCCGTTCAAGACTGAAAAAATTGATCTTGAAAAGTGAAAAAAGAAGGCAAATATGTTACCAGATGCTTAGAGAAGTCACCAAGCAGGATCTTGAAAAACGATTCTTTCTTTACTGAACGCTTCATAAGTTTCCTTGCCATTTGAACCAAGTCTTCAGTCTTCAACGAAACCTCTTCAAAGATCAAAGCTTTTTAGGAGTGGGTTTTCTGTGTAGCTAGCTTTTGTGGGTAAGTTTTGTCGGCAGGGGAAAAGCAGAACAGGCGATGATTGCTTGCTAGGGCCTCTCTGTTTTTCTCATCCTTATTCAGCCATGTCATATAAACTTATAACCCAAGGTATTCCGAAAAAGGGTAACATAACTTTTTTCGTGTTTTGGTAGGTTTCAAAAACATAAATTTCCTTTATGCAATATTTATGCATAATAAATGCCTTCAATCATGATGGTTTTCTTTTTATTTTTATTTTTGAAATATCACTCACAATATTTTATTCTTTATTTTTAGCGTCTTTTTATGTGTACTTGTTTATTGTTACTTTTCCTCGTTGAATCGAGTTTTCCTTTAATAATAATAAAAAAAATTAGTGTATTTAGGAGTTAATTAGATTTATTGAAGCATCGATGTTTGAGGATTTTGAGAATTACATTGGTGTATGTTTAGATTTGGAATTTTTGTTAGCCGAAAGTAGGAAGACAAGTGTGATTAGCAGGAAGTAGGAAAGACAAGTGTAGATTCAGAATTACATTGTTACGTTGGTGACAAATTTGGTGACGAATAAGGACTTATTTTTATTTATCGAAATGTGATTAACACACTTCAGAATTACATTGTTACATTGGTGACAAATTTGGTGACGAATAGGGACTTATTTTTATTTATCGAAATGTGATTAACAGGAAGTAGGAAGACAAGGGTTTCCCTTATTTTAGACTCCTAGGAGCACGGTGTTTCAAACCACTATTTTTGTAAGTTTCTTTAACAGATTTTCTAATCTCATTCCTAGCAGAGTTTAACTCTCAAGTTTTGAGCTACTAAATTTGGAAGCTAAAATCTAAAATCTAAGCAAAAAAAAATTTCTTAGTTCATCACACCCAAGGTTAATTGGTAACATTCGTTCGTCACACCCAGAGTCCTGTGTTTGATTTCCCCCTACCCCAAAATAAAAAATCTGTCTCAATTCAATCAAGTAAAACAATCATTAAATATTTCACAGGCACTAAGAGTAGTAGAAGAATGACTGGAAAATGAAAACTAACCTAATAAAATACAAGAAGATCATCACTTAGCCAAAATAGATAAGTCAATATATTGCAGTCAAACATTTTTTTAAAGTATTGCAATGCGAAACTTTAGAGTAAAAATAGCCTAAGTTTTCAGGCCGGGGTTAACGAGTACAACAGAACACCCACTGCCTCTGTAAATATGAATTTGCATTACACCTGGTTTCACAAACTCAAAAACGATGGTGTTCCCTTCTGAAATCTGGTTTGCTCTACAACATTTTGCCCAACCTTTCGTCATGTCGAAACAAAGATATGGCGACTTGGGGATTCTAAGTTTAACAATCCATGATCTCCCAGTTGGATCTCGAAGCTTTACAGTCTTCTTGCTCACAAGACCTTCAGCTATGGCTAGATCCTTTGGAATTGTCTGCAATTGGAACATCAAAGTGAAAATTTATTCATAAATTTTGTACTCTATACTAAAACTTATAATTTTTTATAATCCTAACAAATGGTGGAACTGTCAAGAATGATGTCTCTATGATAGTGTTTCAACAACTTACCTACTGCACACTCTATTGCATACATTTCATCTTAAGTCGCATAATTTTGAGTCAAGGTTTTGTTCTCTTTTACCATTTACCAACCAGAACATTGAAAGGCTTTCGAAAACATGATTGACTTAAAGTATTGGATGGCACTCACCACTGGATATAGTATTTTCGTCAAAATTTTTATAAAACATGAATTCTCCGATTTGAACAAGATGGATCCAGTTGATGTTTCTTCTACACAGTCATTTGCAGGTCTCTTTCCAGACATGACATACTTGCCTACATATGCCAAATTGAGACATGATTTAAGAAGAAAAAACACATAAACGAGCTGTTAGAGTAAATACTAAACAGCACATACAAAACTTCCCTAGCTGTTCAAAAGTAGATTTAAGATGGAGTAGAACTTACGACTTGTTCTTTCAGCATTGATGGTTTTGCTTTTACTTTCTTTGTTGTAGTTTTCAATCTCAATGTCAACAATTTCATCTTTTACAGTGGAAACAGGATTACCATTTCTCCTCTTGGCTGCTTCTATATCCTTTTCACAGCCAGTTGGTTCATAAATTGTGACATCAAACTTTGAGTCACCATCATAGTCGAAAACCAAAAAATTTCCGATTTCTAAACAATGATCCCTCACAAAACCCTGCCAACCATCATGGAGGAAAAAGCCATTCTCCCTCGCTTCCAATTCCACAGTCCACAGTTTCCCATTAGGGCCTCTAAGAGCACATTTGGGAAGTGATTGCCCATCTAACCTCTCGATAAACACAGGTGGTAAACGCTACAAAATTTAACAGCTTCTTGTAAATCATAGAACATATGCTTCTTAAAACCAAGAAAATCTCACATAACTCAAGTTGCATATGCTGAGTATTTGGTAACTGAAAAGAAGTGGACTTAAACCATGAACAGGGTAGTTGACCTTTCAGCTGAAATTTGTGTGCATCACTCTGAATGTAATATACTGATTAAACTTGAACACATACAGAAAGTTAAGATCTTATTCAAATGAACCAAAAAAGAAAAAGGGCAATCTTGCATTCGATCATGAATATAAGAATTGATCTTGAAAAAGTGGAAAAGAAGGTAGGATGCATGTTACCAGATGCTGATAGAAGTCGCCAAGCAGGACCTTGAAAAATGATTGTTTCTTTAGTGAAGGCTTACTTAGCTTCCTAGCCATTTGAGCCTCTACCAAGACCAAGAGTATCCAAACTGGGACAGATGGTTCTTTGTGGCAATGAGCTTTATTGAAAATTTTAACATTTTGATTTATAAAAAAAAGAGAATATGGTTCTTAATTTAAGTGATGAGACAATACCTGCAGCTATTTTGCCTCTTAAATGCTGGTCTTCAGTCATACAACACCTTCTGCCGCCATGTGTATAACATGCACTTAAAAATAGTGATCTGTTGTCTTGAGAACCTAAATTCAGATACTTCAAAGCTTTTCAGGAGTGGCTGCTCTGTGTAGCTCATGTTTTGCTTCTCTTCTGTCCTTTGTTGGCATGTTGTTCTGCTTCTGCCATGTGTATGGCATGCACTTATAGGTTATAACATAAAACCAAGCTGGTTTGGAGAAACATAAATTATTTTGGTCAGTTTGGAAAACACATTTTATCTTCTTCCAAGGTAGTCCTTATTAAGCTGCCTCCACTCACTTTTTCCAGAAAAAAGATGGATCCTCCAGATCAGTTTCCTTCCTAAACTTTGACCTTGTACTTAAATACATGCACTGAAATTAGATTTCATTCAAGTCATCTTAACCCTTAAATGAAATCTAATTTCAGTGCATGTGTTAATGAGTCATACACCATCATTGCCTTTTGATCGCATTGGATCTCAAACTGTGTTTTGGTGCTGCTGCAGTTCTTTCAAAGTCTAGTTCTATTTTGCACATTGTAACAAGGATTACTTCTTGTGGTGGCACAAGGGTGTCAAATAATGAACTCAACAGTCACAATTTTAGTGCATCTAACTCAGTATAATTTTAAAAAAAGCTATCCAAAGAAAGTAATATAGAAGAATGGTTGGGGAATCAAATAAGATCATCCTTTACCCAAAATCTGCCCTCTCAACATTTGAAAATAGCATCAACAAGCTTTAATTTGTAACATTAGGGGCAGCAGTTATCACAGACAACTATTGCCTCCCACTGCTCCTTTTCTGAAAATATGAATTTGAATTACACCTTGCTTGACAAACTCAAAAATGATGGAGTCCCCAGGTGAAATTTGGTTCGCTTTACGACATTCTGTCCAACCTACTGCCATGTCCAAACGATTAAAGCATTCCACTCTAAGTTCAACAAGCCATCATCTCCCAGTTGGATCTTGAAACATGACAGCATCTCTCCTCCTAAGGCCTTCAGCTACGGCTAGTTTATTCGGAATCGTCTGCCATTTAGAACATCATGGATATCAAGGAGGGTTAAGGAAAAGTTCCTAGAGCTGATTGGTACTAAATGAGACATGTTTGCATGAAACTTGACCAAGATCGAATCCGGCATTTTCCTAGAGCTGATCGGAGAACTTCAGAATTTAATCGGATCAGAATTGTGGAATTTTCGGCATTTATCGGAAATATCTGATTCGGCTTTCTCATATTTCGAATTTATCATAGTCGGATTGTTTTGGAAATATTCGGACCGGAATCGGTTGGAATTGGATTTTCCAATCCGACTTACACCCCTACACACAATCCTTGAGCCACCCCCCTAAACTCAACTTCCACACTAAATCTAGCCACAACCTTTTGTTTCTTACTTCTCCAAGTAACTAAGTTGCCACCCACAAATGTAAAATATCCAGACGTAGAATGTCTATCTGTGATGGATCCTGCCTAATCAACATTAGTATACCTTTCTACTTCCATGTGTGTATGTTTGGAGAACATCAACCCTTTGCCAGGGGCATTCTTCAAGTATCTTATTATTCACGTTACTCCATTCATGTGTGCTTCACTAGGCTCATGCATGAACTGACTTACCACACTCATAGCATAGGCTATGTCAAGGCTTGTTTGAGATAGATAAATCAGTCGTCCAACTAATCTTTGATACCTTTCTTCGTCAGTGGGTACTTGATTTGGATACAAACCCAATTTATGGTTCTGTTCAATAATATTATCGGCTGGCTTACAATCTATCATTCCGGTTTCGATTAACAGATCTAACATTTATTTTCGTTAGGACAAAAATATGTCGTGTTTTGATCTATCAACTTCTATGCCAAGAAAATATTGTAACTCACCTAATTCCTTATCTCAAACTCACTTGCAAGGAGCTTCTATAGATTCTTCATCTCTTCATTGTCATCACCAGTAACAACCATATCATCCACATAGATTATTAGAGCCGTAAGTTCATTATTATGACGCTTTAAGAATAATGTGTGATCTGAGTTGCTCTGAGTGTACCTAAAACGCTTCATGGAAGCAGCAAATCTCCCAAATGAAGCTTGCGATGACTGCTTTAACCCATACAATGACTTTCTCAATTTGCATACAATATTGGAATCAGATGTTATATGGATCCCATGTGGTGGATCCATATACACTTTTTCCTGTAAGTCTCGATGAAGAAATGCATTATTTATATCATATTGCAGTAGCGGCCAATCAATATTTGCAGCTAAAGAAAGAAGAACACGTATAGTATTGATCTTGGCAACATGTGAAAAATCTCGGAATACGCAATGAATCCCATAGAAAATAATGAAAAAAGAGGTCGACACTGTGGCGCGTCGAGCGTTGTGAAAAGGGAAACGACAACACCGCGCAACACGCAACGGTGTCGGTCTCCTCGAACCTAAAATCAGTGAAGATGTCGGCTCAACACCCTTTTCCAATTCTATTTAAACACAGCTTGAGGCAGTGAACGAGCACACCCATTCCAACCTGCAAACACAGAGAAAACCATTAAACCTCAAAGAAGAATTTAATGGCATCATCCTCCACTCCCATCGACGATCTCAATCTCAATTTATCCTTTATGCCACCGTCGACCCAAATAAATGCTCCTCTAAACCCTGTCTTCCCAAACTCCTCCTACCATCATGGCACGACCTCAACATTCGCTAAGGCAATGCCGAACAGAGTAATACTTCTAGGATGCATGGTTGCCAGTAGACTCACACCAGCAGATCATCAGTACATAGCACGGAGGTGTGATAGGGTTGCGGTAGAGGAGACCCACACCTTAACCATGCACAACGCAACCTTGGCTAGAAATGTAAGTATGCGGCTGCTAGCTAGGATGCAAGATTGTGTTGCGCTAATTGATGAAGTGGCCTCCTTGAAGGCTCAAATTTAGGGATGACAAAACGGGTATTAGGTATTGGGATCCCTGAACTTGGAAAATCCCGACAGGTATGGGACGGGGATGGTATTGTCCTTCCTGCCCATGGCTAGCGACTGGGACCTTGGATGAAGGTTTTGATTTTTGAGCAAATGGGGTGCCAAAAGGTTTCAAGGCACCCGTGTAAGTGTCCAAGGCTGAAAATAAGAGTCTTGGATGAGAATTAGGATCTTTTGAAGAAGGATGCCAAGGTGTTCCAAGGCAACCATGGAAATTGTCCAAGGCCAAAACTGGGACCTTGGATGAAGGTTTTGATTTTTGAGCAAAGGGGGTGCCAAAAGGTTCCAAGGCACCGGTGGAAGTGTAAAAGGCTGAAAATAAGAGCCTTGGATGAGAATTTTGATTTTCTTTTGAAGAACAATGCTAAGGTGTTCTAAGGCATCCATGGAAATTATCCAAGGCCAAAACTGGGACCTTGGATGAAGGTTTTTTTTTTTTAGCAAAGAGGGTGCCAAAAAATTCCAAGGCACCCGTGGAAGTGTCCAAGGCTGAAAATAAGAGCCTTGGATGATAATTATGATTTTTTGAAGAATGATGCCAAGGTGTTCTAAGGCGTCCATGGAATATATCCAAGGCAAGAATTGGGGCATTAGATGAAGATTTTGCTGCTTGAATGAGGGGGTGCCGAAAAGTTTCCAAGGCACCGATGGAAGTGTCTAAGGCTAAAACTAAGAGCCTTGTATGAGGAAAAAAAAAAATTGCTTGGCATGAAGCCCCCAAGTAATTTGGAGTTTGCATGTGTAGTTTGCTTAGTAGCATGAATGATGGACTTTTCTAAGCCTTCGAGGGCCTCTTACAAGATCTTGTTTTGCTTGATAATGGAGATCTAAGACATAAACAAGGGGAACATGAGAGTAATTTTTATTATGCCTGTTCTGCAGGGTAGATAGCCAACAAAAGAAAAAGAAAGAGAAAACGTTCTTATCTTTTTCTTTCTTATGGTTTATTGCTGCCAAGTGACTTCAGGATCTCGAAGCTTGCAGTGGAGTAACCAATGTAAGAATAATGGCCTAGTCCCTAGTGAAGTCGCCATTTATGTGGGGTTCTTTTTTGTTTAGAAGGCTTAGCTGGGCTCGATGGTTTCTAGGTCTTGAATAATACCTTCAAGTCCCCGTTTTTGAGTAAGCAAGAACTAGGCCCAAAGTACTCCGAAGGAGAAGCAAGTCCTAGGGAATACTTTGTTCTTCTTCTAGTGGCTCTTTTGGTGACTGTTCGGATTTCTACAACATTGTTTGGAATGAGAGGCTTGTGGCGTGGGAGCTAAGAATCCATAAGTTTAGCAAGAGAGAATGCTTTGCTTGAGGAATGGATGATTATGGCAGCATATTGTGGAATGATTTGGTGGTGTTTAAGCATGGTAAGGCTTGGTTTTGGGTGTTTCTGGAGGAAGAGCTTGCCTCTGTGGGACTTGGGTTGTTTTTGGGCTTGGAAATGTTAAAGCTTGGGTTTCTAGGTTTTTTGGGCAGGTTGAGGATGAGCTTACCTCGGCTTGGTTTGGTGTGTCTGAGCTTGGAATAGCTAAGGCTAGGTGATTTCCAGCAAAGGTTGAGCTTGCCTCTGCCTTCCTGGGAGAAAAATGAGGAGATGAATGGGTTAAGCTTGGGTGTTTCCAACAATGGGTGTATGGCTTGCCCCTTGTCCCTTATTTCCTGGTTAAAGCCTCTTTTTATAGGCGTTGGAGGAGCAGCCATTGGTCTAAGACTTTTAATTGGGACGGTTGGGAGGTTGGGAGTTGAGTGTTGGAAGATTTGGCTGGATAATACGTGATGGAGGAATACGCGAGGGTAGGTCTGGCTTTGATGCAGGTAGAAGAGGCTGGTGGTTGGGTTTTAAATACTCTAACTTGACAGTTGGTTACGGTGTGGGTTTTAATGCTGGGAGGTTATGGCTGTGGCTTTTAGTGTTAGGAAGAAAAACTGTGATCTCTCTCTGCTTACCCGTGTATTGGGCTCAGGAAAGTGGGTCTACGTTTTGGTCCTCCCAAGTAGCCCAAAACTTCCTCTCTTTGATCCCTCAACATGCCTTATGAACCCTTGTAAGTTGTAACCATCCACACCACAACTCACTCAACAAGCCCCAAGGGATGTATGTGGCTTGGGCCCACATAAGCCTGTCAGGTGATTTGGCATAAGAAAATGTATTATTTGTTTGGCATGAGATGTACACTATTTCTAAATTTATTTAATTAATTCCCAAAATACAGCTTGGATTAATGCTTAACCAACGTTATATGTTATATTGGGCGTTAAATATTTTTGGGCTTCTCGTGACATTTTGGGCCTCAACAACAGGAAGAAAATAAAAAGCTATCAAAAATGGTAGAATTTTACTCTAAAGACATGCAAACACCACAACTCACTCAACAAGCCCCAAGGGATGTATGTGGCTTGGGCCCACATAAGCCTGTCAGGTGATTTGGCATAAGAAAATGTATTATTTGTTTGGCATGAGATGTACACTATTTCTAAATTTATTTAATTAATTCCCAAAATACAGCTTGGATTAATGCTTAACCAACGTTATATGTTATATTGGGCGTTAAATATTTTTGGACTTCTCGTGACATTTTGGGCCTCAACAACAGGAAGAAAATAAAAAGCTATCAAAGATGGTAGAATTTTACTCTAAAGACATGCAAAAGCAACTGGAGGCTTTAGAGAACCCAGGGAAGCGCAAGCAAGGAGATCACAATATGAATTTTGCAAAGAAGATGATCTTTGGAAGCCGGATGTCCAAATGGCCAAACTAAAGTCTTCTACTGTGGACAGCTAGTTTCTCAAAAATAAATAAATAAATAAATAATTGTGAGTTTCTAATATTTTATGAAATTTAATCAAGGGTCATCGAAGGTTGTGGTTCTTTGTACTCATTACACTTTTTATTAAACGGATTAACCTATTTAATAACTTGTTTAAGACAATCCGAACCTGACACGTTTAATATCCCAACACAACACAAACCCAACTACCCATTGCCAACCCTTCTTGACACTATTCACGTAAATAGTAACAGCCATTAGCTATAAGACATGAGTGGAAATGCTTAAAAGTCAGCTTTTGGTTCTCAACTCCCAGAGGTTTGCAGCCTCCTAAAATCAGCAGCATTTAATATATTTCACAAGACTAGCCAACAATAAAATACAAGAAGATCATCACTTAGCCAAAATGGATAAGTCAATATATTGCAGTCAAACATTTTTTAAAAGTATTGCAATGCGAGTACAACAGAACACCCACTGCCTCCCATTCTTCCTCTGTAAATATGAATTTGCATTACACTTGGTTTCACAAACTCAAAAACGATGGTGTCCCCTTGTGAAATCTGGTTTGCTCTACAACATTCTGCCCAACCTTTCGTCAATTCGAAACGAAGATACGGTGACTTGTGGACTCTAAGTTTAACAATCCATGATCTCCCAGTTGGATCTTGAAGCTTCACAGTCTTCTTGCTCACAAGACCTTCAGCTATGGCTAGTTCCTTCGGAATTGTCTGTAATTGGAACATCAAAGTAAAAACTTATTCATAAATTTTGTACTCTATACTAAAACTTATAATTTTATATACCCGCAACAAATGATGGAACTGTCAAGAATGATTTCCTTATGATGTTTTTCCACATAATTTTGAGTCCAGGTTTTGTTATCTTTTACCACTTGCCAACCACAACATTGAAAGGCTTTCGAAAACATGGTTGACTGAAGTGTTGGATGACAAAGGACTCACCACAGGATATAGTCTTTTCGGCAAAGTTTTTACAAAACATGAATTCTCCGATTCGAACATGATGGATCCAGTTGATGTTTCTTCTACACAGTCATTTGCAGGTCTCTTTCCAGACATGACATACTTGCCTACACATGCCAAATTGAGACATGATTTAAGAAGAAAAAGAACGTAAACGAGTCGTTAGCGTAAATACTAAATAGCACATACAAAACTTCCCTGGCTGTTCAAAAGTAGATTTAAGATGGAGTAGAACTTACGACTTGTTCTTTCAGCATTGATGGTTTTGCTTTTACTTTCTTTGTTGTAGTTTTCAGTCTCAATGTCAACAATTTCATCTTTTACAGTGGAAACAGGATTACCATTTCTCCTCTTGGCTGCTTCTACATCCTTTTCACAGCCAGTTGGTTCATAAATTGTGACATCAAACTTTGAGTCACCATCATAGTCGAAAACCAAAAAATTTCCGATTTCTAAACAATGATCCATCACAAAACCCTGCCAACCATCATGGAAGAAAAAGCCGTTCTCCCTCTCTTTCAATTCCACAGTCCACAGTTTCCCATTAGGGCCTCTAAGAGCACATTTGGGAAGTGATTGCCCATCTAACCTCTCGATAAACACAGGTGGTAAACGCTACAAAATTTAACAGCTTCTTGTAAATCATAGAACATATGCTTCTTAAAACCAAGAAAATCTCACATAACTCAAGTTGCATATGCTGAGTATTTGGTAACTGAAAAGAAGTGGACTTAAACCATGAACAGGGTAGTTGACCTTTCAGCTGAAATTTGTGTGCATCACTCTGAATGTAATATACTGATTAAACTTGAACACATACAGAAAGTTAAGATCTTATTCAAATGAACCAAAAAAGAAAAAGGGCAATCTTGCATTCGATCATGAATATAAGAATTGATCTTGAAAAAGTGGAAAAGAAGGTAGGATGCATGTTACCAGATGCTGATAGAAGTCGCCAAGCAGGACCTTGAAAAATGATTGTTTCTTTAGTGAAGGCTTACTTAGCTTCCTAGCCATTTGAGCCTCTACCAAGACCAAGAGTATCCAAACTGGGACAGATGGTTCTGTAGAACTCAAAACCCACACCAGCAACCTCACAGATAAACAAACCAAACAACACAGCAAGCACACAGATAAAGCCCAAAGGAAATCAAGCAAGAACAGTTTATATCTCTCACACACAAAACTGAAAATAACAAGACAGAGAGAGAGAGAACCAGAGCAAAGGAGAGAAGCACGTCTTCAATTAATCTCTTAAGGACAAAATAGACAGCTTCCTCTATATGCGTTCGGCAACACTACCTTTTGACAGATGTGCTGCAAAGCAAGAGAAAGCAGTCTAGAGACTTGGAAATCCCCCAACACCGGGAGCATGCCTCTGCCCCTCGAGAAATAAAAAAACAACTAGGCACAAGGAAAATATCCTGATGCATTTACTAGGGTACAATAAAATATTGAATTGGTCTTGATTTAACTTCCAACAGGTTCTCTGTGGCAATAAGCTTTATTGAAATTTTAAAAAAAAAAGAATATGGTTCTTAATTTAAGTGATAAGACAATACCTGCAGCTATTTTGCCTCTTAAATGCTGGTCTTCAGTAAATTCAGACACTTCAAAGCTTTTCAGGAGTGGCTGCTCTGTGTAGCTCATGTTTTGCTTTTCTTCTGTTCTTTGTTTGCTTGTCGTTCTGCTTCTGCCATGTGTATGGCATGCAGTTATAGGTTATAACATAAAACCAAGCTGGTTCGGAGAAACATAAATTATTTTGGTCAGTTTGGAAATCATTTTATCTTCTTCCAATGTTGTCCTTATTAAGTTGCCTCCACTCACTTTTTCCAGAAAGAGATGGATCCTCCAGATCAGTTTCCTTCCTAAAAACTTTGACCTTGAACTTAAATACATGCACTGAAATTAGATTTCATTCAAGTCATCTTAACCCCTTCAATGAAATCTAATTTCAGTGCTTGTGTTAATAAGTCGTAGACCATCAGTGGCTTTTGATCCCAAGCATTGGATCTCAAAACTGTGTTTTGGTGCTGCTGCAATTCTTTCGAAGTCTAGTTCTATTTTGCACATTGTAACAAGGATTACTTCTTGTGGTGGCACAAGGGTGTCAAATAATGTACTCAACTATCACAATTCTAGTGCATCTAACTCAGCATAATTAAAAAAAAACGACCCAAAGAAAGTAATAGAAGAGTGGTTGGGGAATCAAATAAGATCATCCTTTACCCAAATTCTGCAGTCTCAATATTTGAAAAAAGCATCAACAAGCTTTAATTTTTAACATTAGGGGCAGCAGTTATCACAGACAACCTATTGCCTCCCACTGCTCCTTTTCTGAAAATATGAATTTGCATTACACCTTGCTTGACAAGCTCAAAAATGATGGAGTCCCCAGGTGAAATTTGGTTCGCTTTACGACATTCTGTCCAACCTATTGCCATGTCCAAACGATTCAAGCATTCTACTCTAAGTTCAACAAGCCATGATCTCCCAGTTGGATCTTGAAGCATGACGGCATCTCTCCTCCTAAGGCCTTCAGCTACGGCTAGTTTATTCGGAATCGTCTGCCATTGGAATCGTCTGCCATTTAGAACATCACGGATATCAAGGAGGGTTAAGGAAAAGTTCATAGAGCTGATTAGTACTAAATGACACAAGTTTGCTTGCAACTTGACCAAGAAATTTAAATACAAAACATGTTCATGCTAGAAGCACTTACACGTAAATCGATTCATAGCGTTCGTATTCAAGCCTAAAACTCATAATATTAAGTGTTATGAAAAGGTGTTTCTAAAGATCTATTTGACTGTTTTCTGATCCCAATAGGAAAAGTTTTTCACAAGCACAATTGACGTAGGAAATAGGGTGACAAAGAACTCACCACACGATATAGTAAATGCTGCTTCCTCGAACAAACTAGGAAACATGGATTCTCCGACTTGAACAAGATGGATCCAGTTGATGTTTCTTGTACACAAAAACTTACAGGCCTCTTTTCAGAAATGGGATATCTGCCTATACAATTCAAAATTGAGAAATAATTTAAAAAGTAAAGGAGTAAACAAAACGTTACAGTAATTAGCATATACAAATCTTCCCTAGATCTTAGAGGCAGAAAAGTAACTTACAACTTCTTCTGTCGGAATCGATCGTTTTGTTTTCGCAGTCTTCAATGTCAAGCTCAACAATTTCATCCTTTACTTGAGCTTGATTTCCTTTGTTCACCAAGGAAACTGGGCTACCACTTCTTCTCTCGGCTACTTCTACATTCTTCTCGCATGCACTTCTATCATAGATTTTGACCTTAAACTTTGATTTGCCATTGTAACTAAAAACCAAAAGATCCCCAACTTCTAAAGCATGATCTTTCACAAAACCCTGCCAACCATCACGGAAGAACAAGCTATTCTCTCTCTCTTCCAATTTCACATCCCACCATTGTCTACTAGGGCCTCTAAGAGCACATTTGCGAAGTGATTGCCCATTGAAGTTCTCAATGAACTTAGGTGGTATACGCTACAAAATTTAACAGCTTCTCAAAAGACCATATATATATACTTAAAGCTTAAGGTTAAAATTAGGCTATGTATGAGAGTTCAAAAATTTATGGTAAACAGAATTCAAATTGTATAACTTGGGAACAAATCATTGTAAACCTTACAGATAAAATGGTTAAATAAGAAGTTCATAATTAACATTTCCTTTTTCTTGTTTACAAATTTATGGGCAGACAGTAGAGCACAAAAACAAGGAAGTAAACTAAAACAAAATTTTAAGTCATTCATCAACAGAGTGTTATCAAAACAGAAATTTAACCACTGTCATGTAGCAAATGTCTATTTGTTCTAACCTTCCCCCAAAAAGAAAATCAAGACCTTACTACAATTAACCCAAAAAGGAAAAAAAAATAGACAAGGCAGTCATGCATTCAATCATGACTGTTAGAATTGATCTTGAAAAGTGAAAAAGAAGGGAGGATCGATGGATGTTACCAGACGCTGAGAGAAGTCACCAATTAGGATCTTGAAAAATGATGGTTTCTTTGGTGAACGCTTCCTATGACTAGCCATTTGAATCTTTGTCAAGAGTACCAACCAGGTCTGCCAAAGAGTTCATCAGAACAATTTTTACTGGTTATTTATTTAAGTGAAGAGACAAAATACCTGCTGCTATTTACCTTATTTTGACTCTTCTGCTGCCATAAGTTGAGATACTTCAAGACTTCGGTCTTGTTGTGCTGTTCTTTACCTGTTTGCTTGCTTCTGCCATGTGCGTCGAATGCACTTATAACGTAAAACCAAGGTGGTTGGAAACATAAATTTTCTTAGTAAATTTGGGAAACATAAATAAATGCCTTCACACACTTTTCACCAGATCATTTTTCTTCCTAAACTTTTACCCCTTGCAATACATAGAAGGGTGGTCCCTATGAGAATTTCCATATAGGTCAAACTGTTACTTTATTGTATTTCAAAACCCTTCTAAAAACACCCTTAATTTTTAGTGAATGTGTTAAATGAGACAAACAAAGATGAGTCAATGGTTGTAAATTAGCGGGACCTGGCTGGATGGAGTGACATGATATGGGCTCTGTTTAGAACCAAATAACGTAAGGATGGTTTTGATTTTTCCATTTTTGGATTATGAAACATGGTTACCAATCTAACTATGGAAGAAGAAGAAAACTCTGAACAAGGACAAGGAACATGGTTACCGAAAGACAAAATACTATACTTTACATGTACACAACCACCGAGTTATATATACTCAACTGTCTCAATCCAAGTGCATCTGCATCACATTTACAAGAGAGAAATCTAAAGCACAACAATCAGAAAATATTTCACACGCACCAAATAAGATGTGGATATTGCAGTCAAAACATTTCCAGGAAGTATTACAAGGTGAGGCTTTTGAGTCGGCTAGCTTTAGTCTTTTACATCAGGTGCAGCTAGTACCACAGAATTGCCACCCACTCTGAAAATATGAATTTGTGCCAGACTTGGCTTGACAAATTCAAAAATGGCGGTGTCCCCGGGTATAATCTGGTTCGCGTTACAACAGTCTACCAAACCTGTAGACATGTGCACACGACAAGAAGATAATTTGCCCTGGACTCTAAGTTTAACAGGCCATAATCTCCCAGTTGGATCCTGAATCATCATACTCTTCTTGCTAAGAAGACCTTCAGTTACGGCTACTTCCTTGGGAATTGACTGCAATTTGGAACATCATCGATATCAAGGAGAAAGAAATTACAACACTTTCATGCTAGAAGCATTTTCACTTGAATGCTTCATAAATTTTGTACTCAAGCCTAATACTTAGAAGTTAGTGCACCACTAAAAAATGGTATAACTTTCAAGAACGACTTCTTGAAAATGTTTTTCCATAACTTCCATACTGCAACTCTATTACATTTCATCTTCATTGAGTCGCATAATCTTAAAAAGGTATTTGAAAGATCTCCAACTATTTGCAACTCCAACTATTTGCAATCACAACGAGGGAAGTTTTAAAAACAAAATTGGGTTAAGAATTGGGTAATAAAGTACTCACAGTGCCATATCGAAGTTTCCTTGTGAAAGTTATCATGAAACATGAATACTTCGGTTTAAACAAGACGCGTTCAGTTGATGTTACTCCTACATGATCATTTGCAGGTCTCCTCCCAGGTATAACATAATTGCCTATACAGTACCAATATGAGACACAATTTAAGAAGAAAAAAGTAAATAAGCTGCTAGAGAAAATAGCACAAACAAATCTTCCCTAGATGTAGAGAAGTAAAATAGAGTATAACTTACCACTTCTTCTGCCAGAAACAATTGCTTTGTTTTGACAGTTTTCGTTGTAGTTTCTAGTTTCACGGTCAACAATTTCTTCTTTAACTTGAGCTTTCCCTTTGTTAGCCAAGGAAACAGGACAGCCACTCCTCTCAGCTAACTTTACATCCTTCTCACAAGCAGTTCTATCATAGATTGTGACTTTAAACTTTGATTCACCATCATATTTGAAAACCAAAAAATCCCCATCTTCTAAATGATGATGCTTCACAAACCCTTGCCAACCATCTTGGAAGAACAAGCCATTCTCTCTCTCTTCCAATTCTACAGTCCACCGAATTCCACTAGGGCCACTAAGAGCACATTTGTGAAGTGGCCGTACATTGAAGTTCTTGACAAACTTAGGTGGTATACGCTACAAAATTTAATAGCTTTTTTAAAATCCAAACAATCACATATGTTCAGTTTTTTTTTCTTTAGTCTAAATTACTCTAAATAAATCAAATTTATACGAAGGGGACTCGAACTTGGATGAAAAGGACACTTCCCTGGAGAACTGACCTAACCCTGTTCAGTTATTGTCTCACTATCATGAACATAGCATACAATATGCATGAATAGGTGTGAGAAAGTGATTTATTTCTATGAAGTAAAAATTCCCCCATTGTGTTTAGTGTGGACTAAAACAGTGTGCTCAAACATGAACCATGAACAGGGTATTAACCTTCAAATAAAAATCACGGGCATCATTCAGAATCTAACAAATTGACTAAACTTGAACAGATGCTGAAGATTAATCCTTAAAAACGAACCATACCAAAAGAAACAGAGAGCAATTTGTAATTGATCTTGAACTTAAAGTAAAAAGAAGTCAGGATGTTACCAGACGCTGAGAGAAGTCACCAAGTAGGATCTTGAAGAAAGATTGCTTATTTAGCGAAGGCTTAACTAGTTTCCTTGCCATTCCAACCCTTGAAAATAGCAAACAACTTTTCTGAACCTCTGATCTTTATTTTGGAGGCTGTTGCTTCAGAATCAGATCTCCAAAGCTTTTTATGAGTGGCTGCTTTGTGTACTTCGCTTCTCTAATTTTTAATTTGGTATTTTCATGTTTCTTCTGGCCGCAATATTATAACATGCACTTATATATGTCTTGGGTTGCTTTAAATAAAAGAGAAGTGTTGGGTTTTTTTTTTTTTAATTATAATGTTTTTCCTTATGGCTCTAAGAGAATTTTTTTAGTCAATATGGTTTTTTTTATTTTTATTTTTTTGATCGAAAGTGGACTTCATTAAAAACCCACAAAGGGGCATAACAGTACACCCAGAAGTGAGACCCAACCAACTGGGCTCACTAACAAAGCAATAAAGCCAAAGGCCCAAATAAAAAGCAAAAGAGCCAACAAGAAATTAAAAACCCAAAAGGCATTAAGCCCACACAAGCCCAAAACAAGGCCAACAAACCCTAACCAAAATTCAACAAAGTCGTCGCCGTCGCCATCGCCTGAGACAACATCACCGGGACAGGTTGAGGGGAAGAGCTGCCATACCCGAGAGGCACAAAGCGAGTAAATCGCACAACCCACAGATCCTCTCAAATACCATAACATCCCACATATTACAAAGACACAGTCAAGAAATAAGAAGCCAGCCACTAGAGGATCATCACCTCCCAAATCAAACCTGACAAAGCACCAGAACAAACACAGGAACCAAACAAACATCAACATAGTAGAAGGAGGTGGTGCATGCACCCGAGAAAGAGCAAAAGCTCGACCTCTACACATCTTCAGAGTTGTGCGCGGAAAACCGCATTTTTGGCTAATTGGAGCAGCCACAAGGAGAAGCCAGATCAAAAGGGAGGAGAAAATTTCAGTGGGAAGGACCAAGACCGTAGAGGATGGATTTGAATGGAGTTTGTGAGGGAGATAAAAGGAAATGAATGGAAGAGGGGACAACTGAATACAAGGGATGAGAGATAAATGGGGATCTGGGTACAAGGAAACCGAAGACATAAAGCCTCAGAACAAATCACCCACAAAGGGGAGACCAACACACCCACGAAGGGGAGAACGACACACCCACAGAGAAGGGGAGAAGATGGGCCAACAGATCTCCACCGGGAGATCCACAAGCAGCAGGGAGGCTGGAGAAGAGGAACCGGAGGGAAGGGGAGGAGGAGAGGACCTCCTTCCCCCCCAGGTCGTGCGGCGCAGAAGTTTGGGGTTTTCTTTCCAGGTTTTCTCTCTAGTTTGGGGTCTTCTGCTGATCTTGGGATTATTTTTTTAGTCAATATGGTTTAGCTCAGTATAAAAAGGCATTGGCTTGTAAACAAGTCTCTTTGGTTCCAACTCGTAGTATAACTTACTATAAATATAAGGCCATCTCCAGCTATGGGCTATATCCCTAATATGGCCCTAAAATAATGCAAAACTCATCTCCAGCCATGAGTTAAAAAAATATTTGCCAAATTTGGAGGGCCGCATGTTGCCCAACTTTGGCCTAGGCCAAATTTTTTATGGGCCCCATGCATGTGCTTTTCAGGACGATAAATTATCAAGTGTGGTCACATTTTTAAATGTTTTCAAGTTTTGTTTAAAAAAAATTATAAAAAATTCTTTGTTATGATCGTTGGAGGTCAGACCATTGAAACCTATTCAATTTTTATTTTATTTTTAAATGTGTTTTTTTTTTAAATTATAAAAAATTCTTGTTCTTATCAACTTATACGTTTCATATATGGAATATTGTCTCTAAATAGTAGTTTAATTAAATTAAACAATACATAATTGTGGAATTATGAGTGTTGTATCACAGTTTTTCTCAAAATAATAAAATATGAAGGACTCTAAAATATAGCCATACATGGCTGGAGATGGAAAATTTTAGCCCTGCACTATTCTTTAAAAAATTAATATTTTGAAGGGCTAAATTTTTAGCCCTGGACTACATTTAGCCCTATGACTGGAGATGGCCTAACAATTTAAAGGCTTAACCTTGTGTACGCAATCATCTAGGGTTCTTGAGTGTTCCGCTTTTTTAAGGATTAAGATAGGACCATCTCTGGGAGAGTCTAAATTTTAGCCAAATTTTAACTAAAATAGCTAAAAAGCTATTATAGAAAACTACTTAAAATTATTTCCTCCAACATTGTTCTCTATTTTGGCCAATCTATAATATTTTATTATTTCCTAAAGTTTAAATATTTGAGTAACTAAAATTAAAAAATCAAAAAGTAAGAGGCAAGAGAGGGTTGTGGGCCTAGGGAAAGAGAGGAGGAAGGAATGGAGGAGAACCATCAATTTCTCTCTCTTCCTCTCTAATTGTGTGTTTACTAATTAGGAATTGGAATTCTCATCAGGAATTGAATTCCACCTATGGAGGATTCATGCGTTTACTTTACATCAAGGAATTAAAAAGTAAGAAGGGCATTCCTAATTTTGGAGGAATTCAATTATTGGGTGGGAAGTAGTATTCTAATTTCTGGAGAACTAACCTATTATGAATTCATCTTTTTTTACCCATTATGTCCTCACACAATTTTAAAAGTTCCAAATTTGTCATCTACTTTAACCCAACAACGAGGACATTTTAGTAATTAGTACCACTCCTACCCCAATTCTATATGATTTAGTAAACAACTTCAATAGGAATCCGAAATCTAATTCTCTTCAATCCAACTCCTTCTCAATTCAATTACGGATTAGTAAACATGCCATAAATATAAAGAGCCACCAAACTCAAATAGGGAGTTCTCAAAAATGGAGAGTCAGATACCAAGTCTATTGGAGCTGCGTTTTGCGCTCATACTCGCCAATATGGGTAAGATCAGAGTATAGTAACTGTGCTGGAGATGCTTAAGATAACTTTTATAGTTCTTGGATATAATTGAAGATTTGTATTGAGAATGGTTGAAAGGAGTAATATGGGTAAGATCAGAGTATAGTAACTGTGCTGGAGATGCTTAAGATAACTTTTATAGTTCTTGGATATAATTGAAGATTTGTATTGAGAATGGTTGAAAGGAGTAAGATTTATTTAAATGAGTGACTCGAAGAGATTATTTCATCCCCATTGTAATGTCTCAATTCATTTTGAACAGAAATTTGTCTTTTTATTACCTTCGGCCAAGAAAATGGCTCTTCACCTTTGATTTACTTAATAACAATTTAGTGTGGTCAAGTCGAATCTGCCCATTAAGAAGTATCGTGATTTTCTATGTTAAGATGTGTGATTTGTGGCAAGAAGCATGTAACTCAAGTAGTTAAAAATAATTAATCATGCATCAAGGTTCTTTCATTTAAGGGCATTTGTGCTTTCAAAGCTAAGTCAAATTTAAGGGCATAAAAATTTGTTAACAAAGTAAATGCTTTCGGCTTTACTTCAACACACCACAAAGGCAATGCACAAACTAGTCTCACAGTTGGCCCAAGTGGTATTACTTGTTTACACCAACACTGGCTTTTCTCTCTCTGCAATATCAGATAAATCCAACACAGTCCACTTTGTGCTCTGTGTAATATACAAAACTGTGGCAGCTTGACAGGAGAGACCACAGGTTAAACCAATCCACAAGCCCTGTAACAAAATCAAGCAAAAAAAAGTACCAAATGTGAATTGAAAAGGACAAAAAAAAACAACAAAACAAATACACGAAATCAACTTACTGTTGTTGTCTTACCTTGGCATTTAGTTTGAACTTAAACCCAAGAAGACTGGAAATTGTCATGCCAATCAAATAGAATGTGACAATGTTTACATACACAGTCAAGTGTTGCCATCCACATCCTCTGGCCACACCTGAAAGACAAGCAATCACTTTCATGGAGAAGTTAGGAAAAGATAACAAAGTTCAAATGGGAAAAAGCAAAGTTGAACTACTGCCCCTACTAAAAAGGTAGATGATCTTAACCTGATAAAACACCTTGCACAGAATAAACAATTATTGAAATTACAAGCAAAGGCACCATGGAAGCAAATTGCTCTGCTATTATGTGGCTGCCACTGAAGAAGCCGGCCCAGATATTGTGACCGACGGCTAGAGCGAGAACAAGAACTAAAGCCAGAAGTATAGAGAGCTTAAGAGTCACAGCCATTGCCTTCTTAGCTTTGTCAGGATTGCCAGCTCCCAATTCATTTGACACCCTTGTGCTACACCACAACAAGTAACTTTTGTTTCAATGTGCAAAACAGAATCTAGACATCGAAAAACTTGGAGCAATATACAAAGCTGGATTGTTGTTCTCCCACCAACCTTGCAGCAGCACTGAGGCCATATATAATCATGTATGCAATTGCTTGCGTATTCACACTGACGAGATAATATTCAAAGAAAGACTAATTTGAGTCAGCCTGCAATATTATAACAGCTATAGAAAAGGAGAAAGAAAAAAAAGAGTATATTGAAGCTTACCACATCGCCATTAGTGAAGTTGTTTCTTCCGAGTTTGGCATCAATCCTCCCATCAACACCAGAATCTCAAAAGCCCATTCCTCCAAACTGGAAAGGTTAAAAAGTTTGTGAAGTTTAACCATGCAAGTTCTATCTCATACTCTTAATTTAGTTTGCATATTTAAACTTGGCAAAGAAATTGTGCTTCTAATGGAATCTAAACATAAGCATAACTATAAAAGTAATGCAAGCATTGACACTTACCATACCATTAGTGCTGAGGGGAGGGCAAGTTTCAAATCAATAAGGACATAATGGAACGATTCTAACGAAAAGCCTTCCCATGTATGAACAAACTTCTTTGAGCAGATGACATACATGGCCAACAAAAGGGCAGATATCCATAACGAAATTGAAGCCGCAAGTGGAGCTCCCTTGTAACCAAGAGCTGTCCAATGTACCAAACCATAAGCAATGCCGAAATGAATAACAAGGGGGACGAACGAGAAGACCAATGGCAGGACAATAAATTGTGCCTGAAGAAATCTCAAGATGTTTTGCAGGAATCCATATGCAAATAACCCCGGAATTAGAAATTTCATGAAAACAGCAGCAGACTTGGAAATTTGAGGATCTTGATGGAGGAAAATAAGTATAGGTTCTGTGTAGAACCAGATTATAGATATGATGAAACAGAATAGGAAAGATATGATGCAAGAGGCTTGTAGATAGATCCCCAACATTTTATACAACTTTGCACCAAACCCTTGTCCACAAAGCGTCTCAAGAGCTCCGCTTAACCCAACCTAAAACAAAACCAAGGACAGTCAAGAAAAGAATTAAGGGAAAAGATCTGCAATCATACTGAGTATATAAGGGTCAGAGGGGAGAGAGAGAGAGTTACCATGAAAGCAAAGCCAGTAACAATGGCCCATGAATTGGCAAGGGTTGCACCAGCAAGCTCAAGCTTCCCAAGATGGCCAGCAAACATAACTGACACCAAAGTGATCAAATAGTAGAAAAGACTGGTAAAAATCATTGGCAATGAAAACAAGACCTGTTTCTTGGCCTCCTCCACATCCAACACTTTCTTCCACCACCTTGGTTTGTTTGCTCCTTCTTCATATCCATGACCCTCTAATAAGGGTACCCTAGTAGTTTCATTTATCCTCTCTAAATCTGTGTT